GGCGCCTGGGTGGCTCAGTCGGTTGAGAGTCCAGCTTTGGCTCAGGTCATGATCTTGCAGTCTGTGAGTTCGAGCCCCACATGGGGCTCTGTGCTGACAGCTCAGAGCCTGGAGCCTGCTTCAGATTCTGCATCCCTCTCTCTCTGCCCCTCCCCCACTGATGCTCTGTCTCTGTCTCAGAAATAAACATTAAAAAAATTTTAAAAAAAAGGATCAGTGACAAAGAACATAAAAATGGTAGGAGTAGAGATACTCAAATGTTTCATTCCTTGGATCTTTGTTTCTCTACCTAAGGACTGGCCTTTGTGTTTCTTTCAAGGCTACAGCAGCTACTTTTAAATCAGGTCATTCAAGTCAGCATGGACTGTGACAACACGGAGCTAAAGTGATCAACAAGTATTTTATTCTCATGACCTCTCTTTCAGGATCAGGTTTATATAATGCTTATTCCTTCGAATCACTTTTATCATTTAGAAAACACGTAGGTCTTAAAACGCAAGCTATTGAAAAGCAAAGAACAAATCTATCCCACCCACGTAACAACACATATAATAAAGCATAATAAAAGGGAGACACTTTGGGGGCACCTGTGTGACTCAGTTGATTAAGCAGCTGACTCTTGGTTTTAGCTCAGGTCATGATCTCATGGTTCGTGGGATCGAGTCCCACGACAGGCTCTGTGCTGACAGCGTGGAGCCTGCTTGTGATTCTCTCTTTCCCTCTCCCTCTCCCTCTCTCTGTCCCCCCCACCCCCAGTTTGTGCATGAGCACACTCTCTCCCAAAATAAATAAACTTAAAAAAAAAAAAAAAGTTAAAAAAGGTAGATACTTTAAAATGGCTTAGAATAATGATTCAGCCCCAACTTTCCTATAACGTAAAGCCTGTCAGAAGATTTTAATGGTCAGTTTCTCTGCCTTTCTTTATTTGCAACTAACCTTCAAAATTACTTTCTATATACCAGCATATCCTGAAATATATTCTAAAACACACTGATTTTATGGAACAGTGATGGGATTTGCCCAGAAAAAAAAGCAGAAGTCAGAGTATTTCATCGGCAAATGGAAAACACCAGGATAAACAAAGTTGAACAGACTTCTTTCCAGAAAGTCTCAATCCTCTGGCATGCTATTATACACAGAGGATCTCCACTAGAACTACACGGATGAAAGTGTGAAAATTGCCCAAATGTACTTGACTACAGAGCTTTTTTCCCCAGCATCTCTCCTATTTCAAGTTTCAGTAGGAAGGGAAAGAGTTACATGGCACAGTTATAACCATTATGCCCTGGTACTTTCTGGTTCTTTGAAGAGAAGAACACAATCAAAATGAAAGATAAGGGGAAGAAAATTATTCATTCAGTCTAAGAAGCTACCATCTTTGGACCTAAATATTCTTTGTAGCAGCATAGGGAAAATACACAGAATTTCATATTATGAACAAAATTAACTTTTGAAAAGTAACAAGATTCTAAAAACTAAAACATGACTAGTTTCTAAAAATATAATAGTACACCAAGAAAAGTTTACCTGAACAAAGAAACAATGGTTTTTCCAGACCATACTTTTTTTTTTTAAACAGGACATTTTTTCTTTTTATTTTATTTTAATGTTTTTATTTATTTTTGAGACAAAGAGAGACAAAGCATGGGCAAGGGAGGGGCAGAGAGAGAGGGAGACACAGAATCTGAAGCAGGCTCCAGGCTGACCTGTCAGCATAGAGCCCAACATAGGACTCGAAACCACAGACTGTGAGATCATGACCTGAGCTGAAGTCGGATGCTGTATAAACTGAGCCACCCAGGCACCCCTAGACCATCCATTTTAAACAGCCATTAGAGTAATTAGGTTAGCCAACTAAATTAGGTTCAATCTAGCTCGATAAATGTTGACCAAACCCTTACCCTATGGTAGGCGCCATAAGAGTATTTCATAAAGAAATACTCTCTACCTCAAAGAGTTTGAAATTATGAAATTTTACAACTGATAATGGTGTGTTTGTGTGTGTGTCCATGTAAATAATCTTCATGTAAAAAAGGTAGAAAAACATATATGAATATCGATAGCAAAGAACCATGGGAAAGGACAGCCTCATTCCAAAATCAGAATCTGTAGGTCTGAGAAACAGACCCAAGAAGCAAGGCGGGTGGCCAACTAACTCAATCTCCCAAGTCCCCAACTGTCAGGACTTAAAAGCTGAAAATCAAAAACTAACACAAAATTTTTTAAGGAGCAGCAGCAAGTTTGGGGAAAGGAGAGAAGAGAGATCATTAATTGCATCCTGTCACTTAGATCACTCACATAAGAAACAAGATCCTTGTGTAGATTTCACTGTTTAGTGTAGTTACACTTACCACAAGCCGGATCTGGAATCAGACAAACCGGACTGAATGTCCCTGGACCAATCATCAAATTGTTCTTGTTCATACAGTTTAAACTGGTCTAACAGATCTTCGGCAGCTCGATGGAAAGATTGAAATCCTGACAAGTCAGATAAAAGAGCCTCTGCAATCTTGAGAGTATCATCCACCTTAAAAAGCCAAATTACATGAATATTACAAGAATGTATTAATACTTATTATAAGATTAGCACAAAAGGAACCACATTCTCTAATCTGTGATTCAGAAATTATTTTCCCTTCAACTATACACAGTAAAATAGAAAACTTGCCAAGGAATGTAAGAAAATCAACCCCTACTCTGCTCCGCTTTAGACAACCTCAGAACAACAAAACACAGATGATAATGCCAACTGGGTATAACCTGAAGGGTAAGGTAAGGGAAATTCAAGGCAAACTCCCAAGAATTCAGCAATGTCCCTAAACAAAGGAAGCAATAATGTGCTAAGTGCTCTCGCAAACAGCTCAAACAATAACTGTCAGTCGGAATAGCAATCAAAAGAAAGAAATGCCTTTCTTCCACAACTGTACAAAGAACCTTATAGCAATTTGGAAAGCTGACTGACAAAATTGGGCAGAATATTCCAGAAAATAAAACATCAAAAATACAAACTTCAAGGGGCGCCTGGGTGGCGCAGTCGGTTAAGCGTCCGACTTCAGCCAGGTCACGATCTCGCGGTCCGTGAGTTCGAGCCCCGCGTCGGGCTCTGGGCTGATGGCTCGGAGCCTGGAGCCTGTTTCCGATTCTGTGTCTCCCTCTCTCTCTGCCCCTCCCCCGTTCATGCTCTGTCTCTCTCTGTCCCAAAAATAAATAAACGTTGAAAAAAAAATTAAAAAAAAAAAAATACAAACTTCAATAGGCAGAACTCTCAAATATACTAGCCTTTATAATATGCTATGTCTTCTGGCTCTTAGTCACAGACTATAACTAGGTAACGTTCATTGTATGAGTCAAGTGCCATAACATGTACATTAAATAGTGAGTACGTGAGAATCTGACATCAATTTTAGTAATACTAAAACATTAACATAATAGCCGTTAAACCCAGAAACTGCTGACACTACCTCATGCAAAGTCATAATTACCTTCACATTTCCTTTAACTCCCTCCAACCAAGAATGATTTACTCACAGAAATACACTTTCAGAGAGACCTCACAACGACCAACATTCTACTATGATAATCTCAAAGGATTAAAACAATCCTTTGAAAATAAGTAAAAGATGGTTTCCTCTTGGATATTTCTAAGAAGGCACTTTACCTGTAACAACGGCACCTGGGTAATAAATGACTTGATAATTATCCCTACATAAAAATGAGTAGACCATTACAGCCACGTCTATACCCTTTTTCGGAAATCTGCACAAGAAAGATGGATACGCCAAAGAAAACGGAGAATGTTTTTAATGTTTTCACTCCAGTTCTAGAGTGCCTTCTACATTACTTTGGCACATTTTACAACTAGTATCCTTCAACATCTATCAAAACTAATACCTTCAGTTCCAACTGGCGAACCCAAACTATATTATTAACAACTTCCGACAGGTTTTTGCCAGCAAGCGGTCCAGACGCCTCACCAGGAACTCCTCGGCATCGATTCTCAAAGTCTAATCGAAAATCTGTAACATTTAAGTCAAATAAATGATTACACACATTCGGCAAGTATTTCCTAAATGCTTTCCATGCACCAAGTAGTACATTAAAGGTAGTGAACAGAAAAATAGTAAGACTTGGTCCTTTGCCCTCAGGAACCTTACCATGCCTCCAATGAGACAGAGAAAGAAAATAACTAATTTTTAAAATCTGTAATTTGGGGCACCTGGATGACTCAGGTGGTTGAGTGTCCGAATTCGGCCCAGGACATGCTTTTGTGGTTCGTGAGTTCAAGCTCCACATGGGGCTGACAGCTGTGCTGACAACTCGGAGCCTGCCTCAGACCCTCTGTCTCCCTCTCTCTCTGCTCCTCCCCAAATCGCACTCTCTCAAAAATAAACATTTAAAAGAATAAACAGGGGCGCCTGGGTGGCGCAGTCGGTTAAGCGTCCAACTTCAGCCAGGTCACGATCTTGCAGTCCGTGAGTTCGAGCCCCGCGTCGGGCTCTGGGCTGATGGCTCAGAGCCTGGAGCCTGTTTCCGATTCTGTGTCTCCCTCTCTCTCTGCCCCTCGCCCGTTCATGCTCTGTCTCTCTCTGTCCCAAAAATAAATAAACGTTGAAAAAAAAAATTTTTTTTAAAAATAAAATAAAAGAATAAACAAAAATCTGTAACAAAAATAGTAAATTAATCTTCCACCTATATTGTTATAAGATACTGTCTTAATCCTAAATAGTATACGAGAAAAAGTAACCTACAAAAATATTTTCTCAGGTAAACGCTATAATCTCTGATAAACTTTTACCTTTTATTGAGTCCACAAGTCTTGCCAGTAAAATTTCTCTTTCTAACATCAATTCTTTACTTATAGTTGGACGCTTCACCAGCTCTTTGTATTTCAGAAACGCTTGAAGAAGCTAACGTAAAATAAAAACAGTATATATTCATCCTAAGTTGATCAACTTAGTAAATATATAAATATCTCCTAAAACAGCTTAAGGGAAATATTTCAGCATTTTACCTGCTGTGGGCTGTCCTGAATTTCTGAAATATAAATTTTCAATTTTCCTGCTATCTTCTGTTCCGCAGGTGCAATAATTTTTTCATACTGAGACACTGCAGCTTTCCATAAAGGCTAAACAAATTAACAACATTATTAGACTTTTAGTATATAAATGTCTGCCTTGAGAAGGACGACACAAACAGGAAATTGACAGACAAAACAGGATTCAACCTCAGTATATGGATTATAATGCACAGGATTCAGGCCGGTAAAGGGTTCAAATACTCGAGTCAGGCATATCATTTGCTCTTCACTGGCAGGTAAAAAATAAAGAAGCTTCTCATGAATTGTTCTAACAGCCAAGACCTAAAACATAAAATATCAAAACAACAAATTTATTTAAATCAATCTAAAGTCTAAATATACTGAGCCAGAATTTATTTAAACTAGGTTCACTGAAATGAGCGATAAGACTAATCTTGAGAATTACGACTCATCAGTCATCAAAGTGGCGCTCGAAGATCTATCATTACACTACTGTCCATGTGCTCAAACCTCATGAAAACATCAGATCTAAATGTTTTTAAACGTGTTTAAAGTTCATTTAAGCAACATTTTAGAGTCCTCAACACATGTAAAAACTTCTAATTTTCATTATTCTGCATTAAGTTCCATTCTACTAATGAAATAATATGTTAACAACCCTGTTATGTGTAGTTTACAATAGTAGAAAACAAATTGTTGTATTTTGTATCTAAAACTTCCCCCATCAGGGGCACCCGGCTGGCTCAGTTGGCAGCACACACAACCAACTGTTGATCTCAGGGTTGTTGAGATCAAGCCCCAGGCTGGCCATGGAGCCTACTTTAAAAAAAAAAAAAATTGTCTATAGTTTAAATGAATAAAAGGTGTGGTATTTTAATTTAAAAAATAATAAATAAATAAAATGTCCGGCACCAATTAAAAAATTAAGTAAAAACATTACAACCTTTCATCAAAGTTCAAAATATGAGTACAAACTACTGATTCAGTTTCCTCTTGCTAAGAACAAAAACACCAATATAACAGCCATCTACTGGGAAGGCCTGAAAGCACCAGCCGTTCCCCAACCACACAACTGTTGCTAGATACCATTTTCAGTAAAAAGCGGCGGGAGAAATGACTAATTCCAGAAACGAGGCACCAGACTGTCCAAGATGGGCGGGCATACTTGGGGGCCGAAAGTAAGGGAGTCGTCAAGGAGACAACTGGGTTCCTGTCACAATGACCTAAGAGCCAACGTAAGTGGGCACTCACTGCACAAAGCTCAGGCAATCTGAGGACGATAACAGCTCTAATAGACTGAAACTCAAACTGTAAGAACGTGCAGCTTCCTAACAACACTAGCATTTCATTAGTCATGTATGGAACTTACCATGATACTGGCTTATTATTCATTGTTCTACACAGTGACAGGGGCTTCTGGGTGGCTCAGATGGCTCAGCAGCTGACTCTGGATTCTGGCTCATGTCACCATCCCAGGGCATGGGATGGAGCCCCACGTGAGGCTCTGCACTGAGAGCACAGAGCCTGCTTGGGACTCTCTCTCTCTCTCTCTCTCTCTTTCTCT